TATTTTGAATATTAGTGGCAGGGTCAAAATTTTCATTTGCAGAGGTCGAGATAAATTATGTGACTATTGATCAATAACTTCTTCATCATTGACATAATTTTTACTATCCTCTTCAATCATTTCATTTTCAATAAATTTATTAGTCATACTTACCTTTAGTGCATCAATATTTTTCTTAGCCTCAGATTGAAGATAATCTAAACATATAAAGCATTTAAATTGAAGCATTTATAAACAATGAGTATGGTAACTATGCTTATATACCAAAATACTGCTATTCTGTAGATTATAAGCTTGATCACAATAAATTGAATCACATAAAACAGACAAATTTGGTTTCTTAAAAGTAACGAAACCCCTTGGAAGGTGACGGTCTGTCATTTCGTAATCTAGCAAAAGCCATTGATATATATTGATATCATCAGCCAAAGATTTAACAATAGGCTGTTTGTCACAATTTCAATACATCTTTGCAAATATTTCTAGAAGTCATAAAGAACACTTCTGAGAAAGCATATTTAACTGTTTTGGTGTATATGGACATTTTACCAAATAGACAAAATTTTGATAAAAAGTGTTATCATGTCGTTGCTGGAAAATGAAGTGCTCTTCTTTTCGTAACTATTCACCAGTAAGAAACTTGGTAGTACGTCTTCGAATAATACTATAGGTATTTACTACAAGATAATCACTAAGAGAAGCCAAGTGATTAGTAATCATATCAAGTATTGGATGACCAATTTCTATCCAGTAAAAAACATCGGAGAAAAACATTAGAGAAGCACGCTTATAATTTTTTCAGTCGAATCAGAGAAAAAGATCAGACCAACAGCGTATGCATGCTTCTTCATCAGCAAACCAATCTCCTCCCTGGTGATGCACTGTATAAATATCAAGAACTAGTGGAACTAAATTACTTAATAGGTCGGTTAGATATAGAAATTCAATGTTTTTACACATAAAACCAAATTTTGAATAAATAGTATCAACAATATTAGACTATGCTATACATACTATATGAAGAATTAAAGCAATTCTCCATGGACGTGGCATCTTATCAGGATTTTTTTCGCTCCAAATATACCCTTGTAAATATCAATAAATAAAAATGAATTCTTCTTATAAACGAGTTCACAAGCATTTAGAAACACATAGAGAGGTTCCATAATTAACAGAAATGACATAATAAACTGTGGAATAGTTTCATTGTTAAGGAGGAGTCGCTATGCAATAGCTTTATGAATAAAGTACTGCCCCAGCCAGTCTACAACAATAGAAACTGCAAAATTGGAAAGGTATGCTTGTATTGACTCCTGGTTATATATAATTTGAAGAAAATTAATATATTCATTAATGTTTTTTAAATTTTTTTTAATAAAATTAATTAAAATAGAATTGTGTATATGCTGATCATTTTTTTTCTCATCGAGCCTGTTATTATAATTGTGTATTACTAGTCTATTTATCAACTCTTTATCAGTACATATTTTTTCTGTGCTTTGCATACGATCGTGATATAAAATCTTTAGATTTATAATAAACCAACTATCAAGATGTTTACTAATCAAACTGCTATCTAAGAACTCCAGATTAATTATCCTATGATATAGTATTGCTGGTATTAAGCATAAGTTCCCTAAAATTGTTGCCATACTTGTTGTCTAGAAATAATCATAGTGGTGAGATGTTGTGGGGTATGAACATTATGATAGTCATCAACGTTTAGTACAAGTATATTTTCTGAATACTGAATGAATGCATTCTCTACATATTTTCCATATGCATTAGACATTCTTTTTTTCTATTAATTTACTGCTTTTGATGTTGTAGTCACACCAAGATTCGCCAATATGTTTAACCCTTCATTATTTGTTATGGCAGAGTTTATATAATATGCAATATCAAACTTAAAGGAGTTAATCTTTGTATTGTTTAGAGAAGCAAGCAGATAATAAATGAAAACCATTATTTTTTTCATAGGTCTATTGTTTGTTCGGTGCATATGGATGGCCTAGCTGCTAAATAAATTTGCTCAAAAAAATATTTAAGATTAGAATTATATTCTTCTAACAAGTTTCACATTTCTTCAAACAAATAAATAGTATTTTCTTTTTTTATATACTTCTTATCATAAAAAAATTTTGCCATAATTTCTATAGCTTTGGAAAGCTCAAGCTTTTTGTTAAATGTACCTGTACCTATTTCCTCAAATGTGTCATTCGATTATTTAATACCTTTTCTCAAGGAATTTTTAATATATTTCATATAACAAGCATTATATAAGGCTTTACCTTCTTCTCTATTTTTTCTTACTAGTCTTTACTTACTATTTCTTTCCATTTTGGACTACTTAATGGACGAAATCTAGAAGATTCAGTGGTTGGGCATTCAACGCAAGGCTTATTTTCAGACATGATTGCAATAATAAAAATTGTTGGATTCAAGTGGATTCACTAAATATTTTTATACACTAGTGAAAGAACTTCAAGCTTTTGAAAAACCGATACACCTTTGATAAGCAAGATGAACTATCTGTGAGACTTCTAAAAAAGTATTTTAAATTGTATAAATTATGACTTTGATGTATTGTGTAACCTGTTCTATTTTTAGTTATGATCCCTTCTGTTATTAATTATAGTCCCACATCTGTTTATATCCAAGAAGCCTCTGAGTGGAATTTAATAATTCATGATGTTTAAATAGAGGTACACTTTCAGGAATATTAGATGGATTATCATACGTTTTCTATTGTATCATTGTTGTTCGATCAATACTATATGATCTGAGGAATCCATTATGAACTCTCCTTGTTAATTCTACATCAATTTGTCAACTTGGACTATTGATGTCAAGGTCTTTTAATAGCTTTTGAGCACTATAAGCTGAGATAGCGTAATCATGCGTATTGATTGGATTAGTAGATTTAATCAATTTAAATTTACCACTTTCTGTTAAAACTTGGCCTTCCTCATAATTATAATGTGCTATATAAAATATATCCCAATTATTTAGTAAAGCATGACTAAGATTACTGACAATTCTGGATATTTCAAATTCAATATCTATATCATCTTCTATAATTAATGCATTTTATATCCATTTTTAATGATTTCTTTATAAATAAAATAATGACTTAAATAGCAAGCTTTTTGTGCAGTTGATATTCGATCAAGATTATATATGCTGAGCAATTTTATATTAAATTTGGAGATGGCTAAGAAAAGTCAAAATCTAAGCTAAGAATATTAGCAATTTCTTGCATTTTTTCATGTCTATTCATTCGATAACTAAGATTAATAACAAAAATATGATCGAAACTAAGAGTATGATTTAGTGATCTGTATTGATTTAATTCTGAAGGTTGTTTAAGTACTGTTAAAAAAAAAAAAATTGCTAGATATACTAGCATAAAGATAATTATATTAGATACTTGTTTCTATATTTTTGTTTGTTGCATTTGCATTTTATTTTATGTATAATGTGAAAGAAAAAAGAGTATGTATAATTTTGTTAGAGTGATGCATGATTATTTATATTTATAATTATATAGTTATATAATTATTTTGAAACATAACAACTAGGGCGGCCACTGATTTTACAGGTCATGTGGGTAGTGCATTGCATATTTTGAAGGATAGATTAGTAGAGTAACCAAAATTCAGCAGATCGATCAAAATTTAGGATTGGAACAGGCCGGAGTTGATAAATTTCTCTCCAAATTACCCAAAATTTTACTAATGAAATAGTAGCTCACGTACTAAGTAAAGCTGCCTAGATGATAATTTTGCTGTAATATAGTTAGCTTATATTATTGCTAAATGCAGACCTAGCTCTAAGCTTATTTCGACCCTAAATTTTGGTTGGTCTGCTAAATTTTGGTTGCTCCACTAATTTATCCTATTTTGAATATTAGTGGCAGGGTCAAAATTTTCATTTGCAGAGGTCGAGATAAATTATGTGACTATTGATCAATAA